CCCAGGTGATATGTGAAAATAATGTTCACTTTTTCATAAAAGCATGACACTTGGTACACATGTATAGTTTGCGGCCCTAAACATGTTCAGAAATTGAGCCATTGCAAAAACACCTCGTGGTTGCCATGGCGACCATTTTACTTTCTGCCATAACCAAATTATGTATTTTGTGTCATAGCTCCTGAACCAAACATGATAACACAGAAAAAGGTGATGTCTACACCTATGTTTTGATGGTCAAGGATTACAATGATACCATATACAGCAACATAAACTGTGAAATCAGCTATGTGAGAAGGAAATCACAGTATCTGAGTATCACAGCATTAATAGTACATATTATTATGGCTATTAATTTTTTCTCTTTGATAATTAACTAATATTTTATTTCATAATACATTAAACAATTGATTTCAAGAATAATATCATATATTTCAGAGATATTACAAAAAAAATCACAGGTAAGTGTATATTTCCTTACCTCTCAGGCAGAATCAGGTAGGTGGTAGTGTGTTTGCAATACATTTTCTCAACAATGCTCTAACATCACACGCAGATGGCAATGCAATCAGGTGAACAGTTAATGGTTAATTCAGTGACTTTATGAGAAGGATTACAATGAAATCTCAGAAGACGCAGAATGAAATTTCAAACATATTTCATGTCAACTTAATTTACAATCACTCTCTGGGGCCAGTAAGAGTGAGGATGAAGAAGGAGGGTGCTGAGCCTGTGGTTGTTCTGTACGTAAACATCAGTGTCTTGAACTTGATGCGAGCCGCAACTGGTAGCCAGTGCAGGCAGATAAAGAGAGGAGTGAAGTGGGCCCTTTTGGGCTCATTGGAAGACCAATTGTGCCACTGGATTCTGAATCATTTGTCGAGGTTTGATTGGAATGCATGATGGAAGTTCAGCCAGAAGAGCATTGCAATAGTCCAGCCTAGAAATGACAAGGGCCTGGGCAAGAAGTTGTGCAGCATGCTCTGTTTGGAAGAGCCTGATCCTCCTGATGTTGTGCAATGCAAACCTGCATGATCAAGCTGTCTTTACAATATGGTCCTTGAAGGTCAGCTGGTCACACCGAAGAATAATTTTTGATGAACCTAGCAGGATGATGAAGTCATGCTGTAGAGTCAGAGTGGCAGGGAAAATGAGAAGCTCAGTCTTTGCCAGGTTGAGCTGCAGGTGTTCCTTCATCCATGCCGAGATGTTTGCCAGGCAGCCTGAGATCCATGCAGCTACTATTGGATTGTCTGGTTGAAATGAATGATAGAGCTGTGTGTCATCAGCATAGCAATGGTAGGAAAAGCCATGTGCTTGTATAATGGGTCCCAGTGATGTAGTGTATATAGTGAAGAGGAGAGGTCCAAGAACTGATTCCAGAGGAAACCCTGTGGCCAGTTGATGTTCTTTGGATACCTCTCCTCCCCAGGAAACCCTGAAAGACCTACCTGTGAGATAAGATTCAAACCAGTGGAGTGCAGATCCTGTAATGGTAGACAGGAGAATCTGATGGTTCAGTGTCAAAAGTGGCAGACAGATCCAGCAGAATAAGAAATGATGATTTGGAATCAACTTTCACAATCTGCAGGCCTATACTCACTGATAGTAAAACAGTCTCAGTTGAATGGTCACTGCTGAAACCTGACTGGCTAACATTCAGTTGGTCATTCTGTGAAAGAAATAATGTAACTGTGTCTATAAAGGTGTAAACCAAATGGTCCATTCCATTAGAATAACAAAGGAACAGCATTCCTCAGGAACGTCTTGTAGATTGCAGGATCTCCAGCGGGAAGGTCCTAACAGTATTGTTTCTAGCCCTTTTGTCTTTAGGTATAAAATTCTATCCCACAAACAGAACTTAGGGATTAGCTAAGATGCTTACAAGGGTTATGATTGTTTGAAGGATGGCATGCTAACATCGCTATTGAAGAATCTGCTAAATTCTTCTCCCCACAAAGATTTTTGGTCAAGCCTACTTAATTTTTGTATTAGAGAAATCTAGTACATTGGTGAGCCACCCAAAAGACTGCTCAGCAAAAACAGAGATGATACTACATGGATACTACAGATGATGATACATGGGGCAACTTTTTAGGTTAGAAGGGGTAGTATGCACTGGCCTGTCTAGACAGATATTTTCTTGACAAGAAGTTAAAGTGGATCATAAAGTCAGTTACTGTATTTACATCCAGAGATGAGAAATAGATGGGTGAGGGAAGAGAAGATGACACTACAGAGGAAAGATGGAAGGGTGAAAGGGAGCGTAGGGTTTGCCTAAAAGTAAATGGTAGAGGAATTGGTGGCACACAGGTAGTAATATGTAGGTTAAATATAATAAAGAAATGATCAGAGATGTCTAGAGGTTTTACCAAATGTTGTCTGTGATACAATTGCATGTGTAAATTAAGTCAAGCTGGTTGCCTGATTTGTTAGTGCTTGTGGTGGTAAGCCATTTGAGATCAAATTAAGCTAGGAGTGGAAGTGGAAGTCTGCAGTGTAAGGCTTCTCCAGATGGATTTCAAAGTCACCAAAGACTACAAGTGGACCTCCATCCACAGAGAATGGCATATATAGCCCAAACAGCTCCTCTATAAAGGTGCCTAGTTGACCAGGAAGGCGATAAATCATTACAATAGGGAGTACAGTACAATACAATAACAGGAGCTGTTACCATAATAGCATGAAACTCAAAATAATATTTATTGCATAGGGAAGAGTGGGTTGAGTATTTCCAATTATAAGAAATGAGAAGACCAGTATCCTTCCAACCTGACGGGGGGTGTGAGAGAAAGGTGAAGTTGTTAGAGAGAACAGCAGGGGTTGTGGAGTCTTCTGGATGAATCCAGGTCTCAGTCAAGCCCAAGATACTAAGAGTAGACTGAGAAGCAATGGCCAGAATGAAGTTTGTTGACAGCTGACTGACAATTCCAGAGACCCACAGAAAACGACAGAGGTGCAGCAGAATTGGTGCAGATAGGATGCAGCTTAGCAAGATTAGCAGTTTAGCTGTCTGCGTGTGATGTTAAGAGCATTGTTGAGAGAGAACAAGAATGTACTGGAAACATGCTACCGCCTACCTGACTCTGCCTGAGAGGTAAAGAAAAATACACTTACTTGAGATTATATTTTTTTATATCTCTGCTTGTACTATTGAATAAAATATTAGTAAAGCTGGTGTGTGGTGGGTGTTCTGGCGCAATATGGCTGCTGTCACATCATCCAGGTGGATGCTGCACATTGGTGGTGGTGGTTGCAGAAATTCCCCATTCCATGTAAAGTGCTTTGAGTACCCAGAAAAGCCTATATAATACATAATTTGGTTATGGCGGAAAGTAACATGGTCGCCATGGCAACCACGAGGTGATTTTGCCATGGCTCCAGTTCTGAAAATTTTACCAAGTTTCATGCTTTTATGAAAACGTGAACATCACCTCATCTTTTGCACATATTACCTGGACTACATCTAAACAGTTGGTTCTGTCTAAAGTGAAAGTAAACAGCTGAGAGAAATACAGATGCGTGCCTGTATAGCCAATTTACCCCTTATTTACACTGCACACGTCTGCGGCGCGTTACAGCTCCGACGCGGCTACCGGAACTGATCGCGGTCATTCTAGTCAATGCTTGTGTTTACACCAGACTCGCCGCAGCACCTTTCAAAAGCGTCCCAGAAGCGGCTCTCCGCGCAGCTTCGCTAAAGATAGGCGCCTAGTCTATTTTTGATGGACGCCGCGTCCAAACCGCACAGCAAATTCAAAATAAAAGTAAAAAAAAAATGTCAATTTCAAAATAAATTTCACAATAAACAGAAAAAATTAGCGCGTCGCACCGCGTCGCTTCCATTATGAGCGCGCGTCTACGCGTCTACATTTGAAATAACGAACTTGAGCGCGCAAAAGACGCGATATGTGAACGGCTCCTAATTGTACTAAACATGACAGTAGCCCCATCACTGCAGAACACAAGATCCAGGGGTCGTGGTTGGATCCACATCTAGGGGGTGGAGATGGGTGGGTTTAGGGATCAGGGGGTGGAGACGGGTAGGTTTGGGTATGTAAGGTGGGAGGAGTTGGATCTGGATCCATCCTCGCCCCCTGGATCTTGTGTTCCTACAATGAGGACCATCTCAAACATGATGGCGCTTGTCAATAAAGGGATAGTTCAATCAAAAATGACAATTCTGTCATTATTTACACACTCTCATGTTGTCCCAAACCTGTATTAATTTATTTCTTGTGCTTCAACACAAATGAAGATATTTTGAAGAATGTGGGTAACCAAACAGCTGCTGGTACACATTGACTTTGATAGTAGCGGGAAAAAATACATAAATAAATACCATGGAAGTCACTGGGGACCAGCAACTCTTTCGTTACCCACATTCTTCAAACTATCTTCCTTTGTGTTCAGTACAAGAAAGAAATTAATACAGGTTTGAGACAACTAGACACTTGAGTAAATAATGACAGTTTAAATTTTTAGGTGAACTATCCCTTTAATGTCAATAAAACAACAAAACACAAACAGAAAAAAATCACTCGCTGCTCTTGACTGAAGAACTTTAATACGGTTGCTTTAATAAGAATCAATGTATAATTATACAGTGAAGTGTATATAGTGTTTTCTTTTTTATATTTGTTCATTCAATTTATTGAATGCTACAGCTAAATACACCTACTGTACCTGAAAAATAAAGCAGTTTGTTTCATTTGTATATTAGGTGTATTTGTAATGTGCATCTTTGTTGTTATTTTTTAATAACAAAGATAAAATAATGACAATGATTTTTATCTTTGCCCACTTTGGCCTAAATGTCTGCCATTATTGTTTATTTTATATTTTGCTACTTTGTAAGGTTTTGTTTAAAAAAAAAAGGGAAATTAGTTTGGCTATACTGCTCAGACAACTTGCAAAATAGTAAAATCAACATGACAAAGAATCGTGATAAAATCAAGCATCGTGATTTTTCTAAAAAAAATAAATAAAATCATGATATTTTTGCCATATTGCCCACCCCTACACCAAAGAAAGGCTAAAGCAGAATTTCATGTAAGATGTTATGGCTTGGCACTTTGATGTTTACTTTGAGAAAAGCATTTTGAAGCTGTTGAATCTGTGCCAAATTCATACGAACTCATACTACTTCCTTTGCACATGTACAGATATGTGAAACCATCTGATTGGTCGCATTTTGTCCTAGTCTTCTCTCAGACTGGATATGCCTTAGCTGGGTCAACCTGGACTCTAAATTGAAGATGCTGGCGAACTGCACCTGGTGGAGTACATGTAGTCCCTCAAAACGTAAAGTCTGTTTCTTTTTCATCTGGACTCTGAGGCAGACTTTTACAGTGGATCTTTCCAATCTCCTCCAAAGCACTTGCAAGTGAGTCAAGATCTCCACTGTCCTGATGCCTGGCCTCCCAGAGACTGAGAATGACAGCAGATGGACTCTTCTGCTTGGTAAAGTAGGACAGGTTCCTGTGCCGAAAGGAAATGCAGGTTTCACAAAGATGACAACGTTATTGAGTACATAGCAATAGCATATTTTCAACCTTCTTTCCTGCCTGAGTCATATACACAATGTTTGCAAGCACATCTGAATAACTTATTATATTTGCATTAAATTATATGTGCATTATAGCCTCATTATAGTATGACTTTGAGTATACTTATGTGTCCGTTTGTTGTTGTTTTTAGGGACTACAGTTGAAATGAATACATGACCTGTGTGCTGTTACTTGTAATGTGCCAGTAGATGTCAGTGTTGTAATATAATTCCAAACTCAAATGGTCATGTGACATCGGTTTAGAAAAGGTAACAAGATGTTTGCTTTCTGAATAAATCTGAATTGCCATTTATTTAAAATAGCACAAATTACACAGCTGCAATTCCCGTTCATATCTTCATAACTGTGATGTATTTATGTATTAGTAGTACCAAAGTATTTGTAGGAAAGAAAAACAAGTCTTCATTTGTAATCAGTTCTCTTTGTATTTGCATGGTTTCCTTTTGTATAGTTACTTGGATGCAACTCTTGTCAAAAAATAATAAATAATAATAATAAAATAAAAGCTAAACAGACCCATTTCAGACCAAACTAACAAATAAAACGTTCAGATTTAAAAGGAAGGTTTAGGGTTTGGATTAATTTAAACTCATAAATCAACTACACAGAAATAAAAATCAGTATAAACTATCAATGTGCCATACAATCATTTTATAGATAAAGGTAAGGTGGCGGCTCTTATATCTCTCAAATCTCTAGTGGTTTCTTTAACTTCTAACCTTTGTAGAAATGGAATTCAATAAAGATGAAAAGCCTGAGGAGTATGAGTTCTGAGTGAAATGATTGAGCAAAGCGGAGCGCAGTCTCAGCTTATTATTCAAGGGCATTGTTAACAAAGAGAGCACTGCTGCAATAAGTTTCAATCAGTCCTGTTTCCTTGGCTATAGCTCTCTCTGATGCTCACCTTTGAATGTGGAGTTTCTGAGCTAAGAGCTGCCAGTCCTTGCCCTTGGCGTTGGCAGTATCGAAGGTGGTGCATATCCGCTGACGTATGGACAGGGGGATTTTGAAGGCTTTGGCTCCCGTCTGTGAAGTCACCGTGCAATCTGCCTGCATAAAAAATGGGACCGTCTCTTTCTCACTCTGAAAGAAGAAGAAAAAAAACGGTGGTTTTGGCATGCATTTTTGTTAATCTACAAAGGAGCTTGAAAAAACAGTTATGGTTTATAATGTATCATACCCATGTACTAAAAGACATAGGCTCAGGACTAAATAAGGCAAATTAACATGAGACCGCAATCCCATAAAACTGCTGATGGGAGTGGAATGTTCTGCGGTTGATCTACTGACAATGAGCAGATTAAAGAACACGGATCATTTCCATAATGACCAACGCAAAATACCAAGAGCGGTGCAAATTAGTAATTACTGCAGCCATGCCAAGCACAAAATGGGTTGAGACATACTGTATGTTTTTGGGCATTTATTAATGGCAAAAATACCAATTGACTATCACAATCCTTGGTATATTGCATGACTCATTTAAATAATCCTACAAATGCATATGCAAAAAGGTGAGCTGTGGGAATTTCTGAATAAGGAATTTCTGAATATTTGTCACATTTTTTCCATGCAATAACTGTAAATTCAGACTGTTGAGCTCCAAATGCATAAAAAGCATCACAGAACACAATGAAAGTAGTCCACATGACTCACGCTATAAGTCTTCTGAAGACACACATTAGTTTTGAATGAGTACAAGTCATTATTATATTACAGAAGTCATTATAGTTTTAAGTCATTATTCACATTACTCTTCAACGCTACTGTGACTCGGAATCAAAATAGCCACCTTCTCAAGCAGTGATGCCATAGAAGAACTATTTCTTGTTCCCCAAATAACTTTTCAGTGAACAATTTAAAAGAACCTTTTTTTCTAGAAATTAACTAAAAAATTTTCCACTGTGAGAGCCTTCTGTACAATAGAAACGTTCCATGGATGTTAAACGTTCTTCAAGGAACCATAGATGCCAATAAAGAACCTCTATTTTTAAGAGTGTGCGGTGCAGGTTAGATGTCAATAGCAGCATATTTGATTTGAGAAGTCTACACTGAAATCTGAAAATTCACTGAAAAAAAATTATGTTCACGACACTCTTTTTTAGAGCTTGACAGCCTGTCACTATAAACTGTCATTGTGTGGGAGATGTCAAGACTCTTTAAAATTCTTTTTTTTGTTCCACAGGGAAAATAAACATGAGGCTGAGTAAATAATGACAGTACCCGAAGACACAGAGATGTTACTAAACACTGTGACAGAGTGAATCTGACCTCTCCCACTGAGGTGTAGACCTGCAGGATCTGCTCGTGACCTTTGACCTGCCGCACACTGATCTTGCAGGAGAGCTGGGTGGTTGAGGCGCTATGTCTCTGCAGCGAGAAGGCACAGTGCATAGGCTGCTGGTTACTATACCAGACTTGGGTGAAGGAGAATTCCTGCAGCGGGATGAGGTCACCAGAAACGAAAAGAAGAAGAGAGAGAGAGAGATCAGAGAGCTGAGTCAGGGAAAGCGCCTGATCCATGAAAAATGTGGAAGCATGCGTATTAAGAGACTCGTCTCTGAGACCATCAGTACAAAAGAGACACAAACTCTAATCCCTGTTAATTCCGATGATAGGGGTCAGTGCTGGGGTATGTACAGCACAACGTATCTGGGAGCAGGGCAGCAGAAGGGAAAGCAATTGCCTTTGATGTATAATTAATTTCTGTGAAGCAGCACGTCTGCAGGGAGTGTCCTTGACCTCTCCTGCATTATTTCTCCAGCCCTGCATATTGAAATGACCTGCGAGATGCTCTATGTCAACAGTAATAGGAACCCTGAGCAGAAGAGACGCTTGATGGGACAGCAGATGCCTTAATGCCGGGATTAATTTCTCCCTTGAGTAGACATACAAAAGCATGTTCCAAGAGACAGAAGCACCTCTGAACTGATCAAACGCCTGAACCTAGAACCAAATACTTGTCACTGTCTATCTGCATGCTAGGTAGGAGGACAGTGTCGGTCTTCAGAGATTAAACTTGTAGTGCTGTATGAATGAAAGCTAAAACTGCTACTCTTTGCTTCCTATAAGAGACTCAAGCATACAGACTAGATTTTTTTTACACATTTATGGGCTTTTTGCTCTTGTCATAAAAATAGCACAGAATAGACAGGAAAGCGCATTTAAAACATTGTATTTTTGTCTTGTTGTACAGAGCAAACTTCTTAAGATGTTAAAACAAGACACAATTACTTTGCAAAATTGAAGTGAAATTGCATAAAATATTAAGACTTGTTTTCAGAGAATACAGTTTATTTTTTCTTACCTCACTTGCTAATTGGTTTTATTAAAAAAAATAATAATAATAATAAAAAAAACAATTAGTCAGTAAATAAATCTCACATCAAGAGTTTTATGCTTAAAAACTATGCTAATGTAGTAAGAAATATTTAATTAAATTTATGTTCTCTAAAAACAATTTTTTATAGATTACTAAATGACTGGAAAAACAAGACAAAAACCTTGATCACGCAAACTCACCTCATATTATGGATACTCTACAAAAATTAGTTATTAGTTATTTTTGTCTTGACCCACATGTTGGGTTCAGTCTGTTGAGTCATTTCATTGGGTTATGTTTATTGTTTTTACCCAGGTGCTGGATAGTTTTTGTGTAAATCAGCTGCTGTGTCAATTTTACTGCCAATTCAAATGATGAAACCCCTCACACACATACCCAGCGCTCGGTCAGTGTAACCCAGTGTTGGCTAGCCAAACTGGTTAAAACCAGATCAATTTGTCAATTGTCATTTTGTGTTGTTTTCTGAGAGAAAACTTTCTGAATGGAATTAAGGCTTGGATTACATTGTTTTCCTATCAAATTTTTCATTGTTTTCCTATCAAATTTTTACTGTAGAAACAACATGAGGCAAAATGTATTTAGTCTCACATAACTTTTTTGTTTACATGTATGTTGCAACTAATATCTGCTTGGAATGCTAGTCTTCTACAAATGCAGCAAACACTGAACCTATGAAGCACCACCATTTACGAAATGAAATGTATGAACTGTCCCTGATATACATAACAGAGAACAGATTGCATTAATATTATTTGAAATGAATAGCCTTCAATATCAGGTTGTTGATATAATCATCTTGTGATGCCCCATAGATTTACATTTAAATATTTAAATGAAGGAAGTTCTTCTAGATATTTAAAACTAGAGTGTAACAGTGATCGCCCACTTTTTCAGAAGCCTATTTCTCCCCATAGGGATTTTTTTTTTAAGTCTTTAAGAGGTATAAGCCATGAACCAAACCACCCAGCTACGAGGTGAATCACAACTTACAAACTTTGATTTGAAGCAAAAAAGTATTTGAAAAGTATTTGAAACGATGAAATTTACTTATCTACATCTTGGATGGCCTGAGAGTAAGTATTCTAATAAAATTTTCATTTTAGGGAGATCTATTCCTTGAATGCTTTCATGAGGGAAAGAACTACAATTCCAAGAAGCAATGTGAATGACAACCAAATTGAAAAGGATGGAGAAAATCCATCCTTCATCGGTTAATGTGGTTTTTAAGAATCATCGGTTAATGTGGTTTTTAAGCAGGAAATATATTGTTATATGTTTCATAAATGTGGCCTAATGGCTTTAACAAAAGCTTATACCATTGATGACCTTGTAGGTCACACTAAGTTAAGTTATTGTTAAAAATCAATTCCCCTGGAATGAATGGGATTTTTACTTTCGGAACCCGACTGTTGCATTCTATTTGAGTAATGTGATTAAGACCACATGTTCACTGTCCTGTGGTCACCTGAAAGGCATGCGGTGTGTCATCTACACAGTGCACTCGCAGGCTGTAGTCCATAGAAGCCTCCATACTGCCGAACACGGCAATCCGTAGTCTCTTTATAGCGGCATCGGTGATGGGTTCCCCCACCAGTGCATAACAACCTGGCTGATCCAACAACAAGTGACAGCTATGCGAAACCATTAGGCAATAGCAGGAGGTCGATTCATCATCTACTGACATTATTTCCTGTGAACCCAAGAAAGAGATGATCAAATCACCGTAACATTCATAAATTGGACTTTTTCACTTTTCAATGAATGCTTGATAGTATTTGAAAACTTGGTATATAGTTCACAAGACTTTAAAGCAATAGTTAAAGTATAATAGAAAATTTAAATTTTCCCCCCCATTTTTTCACCATCAAGCATTCTAAACGAGCATTGTTTTGAGAAATATCACAGTATATCAAACCCTCTTTGGGTTTGATGTGATTTATTAGAGAGAAAAGTAGTGAAATATGCTCAATTCGTCAAGGATAGCACAATAAAGTTAAAACTTGTTTCCATTGTGGTCCTTTATGTAAAACACAAACTTCTAAACTTCTAAAATAATTGTTCAAACTTCTATCTTTTGTGTCCAACAGAAAACAAAAGTCACAGATTATAAGCAACATGAGGGTTAGTAAATGATGGGAGAATTTTGGGTGAAATATCCCTAAGGAGCTCCATAAGGAGCTTTTTTGCCCTTTTTGAAGCTTGAGACCTCAGTCCAAATTTATCACAATTGCATGGAAAAGAACCACCAGTACATTATTTAAAATATAACCTTCTATAGAGGGGAAAAATCATATGGCTTTAACTGAGCAGCCTTTTCTTTCTGTCACAATAAAACCATAGGAAGCTTTAGCAATTTAAGTTAATTAACCTAATCAGTTGTTTAGTAGCTAACAAGACTATCAAAAGCTGTATGTGGCAAAGAGCTCTCTACAAAGTCTAATTCTAACAAAGGAAATCAGACTATATGTAATGGTATATGATTTTTTAATGATAATTTCACCAAGATGTGGGATGTAGGATGTAGTGGATTTGTTGAAATGATACTCCAAGTAAAACATCTCATAAATGTAACTTTAAATTCTAAGAGGCTTCTCATTGGTATGGAAGCCTTCAAAGAAACAATCTTCATACAGACTGACTTACAGCTGTTGCAAAAAAAAAAGTGTGAAAGAATGTCAGCTCAGCCCGTATTTTTGCCTGTGTAATTGTGATCAGTGGAAAAAGCTAAATTCACTTTGCCACACTGACATAGAATCACTCACAAATCAGCGAGGTCACTTCAGTATTTCTTTGACAAGGTTAGGCAAACATCAAGTCAAGCACAGGCATTCATACAATACAGGCTCTTTTAATTTTTCTGACAGATGACCATTTATTTACGTGACTGCAGCTTTTCAAAGAAATGTAAATATCAAACAGAATTACCTCTGAAAAAACACCCTTTGCAATCTGTTAAAAAGTATGTGTGATGTGGAAGAGATAGAAATTCGTACTACTGCAGTCTTTCTTTGACAAGTCAGTGATTTTACCAGCAGTTTTTATGTAATTACTACAAATAAAATTGTTAAAAGCCAGGCAAAAACTCAGACAGCAAATGCATTTTCATGAAGACTGTTGGTTTTAATCTCAAGGATAAGTACCATGCTTTGGAACAATCTCAAATTCATCTAAATAATGACTCGCGCTGGTGGCCAGACACAAAAAGAAGGTTATTATAAACAAACTCTGTACCGCTATGGTTAACTTTTATTAATACGTCAACTTTCAAACCATGATGACATTTTAAGGTTTTCAGTGGCTGATAGCAGAGAAAAACACATGGGACTAGGACAAATGTGAATGACTGTAGTAGGGTCAGGAGGGAAGACCCGTCCATGACTCCTGTCCTGATTGCCTCGTGTCAGCTCCTATTTTCAGGGGGTCCTATAGTACAACCAGATCGATATATCCTGAGTCTGATGGGTTGCCTTGTCCCGATGCTCCTGCTTGACTGCCATGAACTGTGTGTCTTCCCAGCTATTACAGGCTGTAATTGTTTTTTCCTTGAGCACTTCACTGCCGTAGCCTCCTCTGAGGAGCTGCTGTCCCTGGATATCTTGTCAAGAGCGCACAATCGCCTAATCAACAAATTTTTAAAACATGCGCAGCCCCAAAGGCTGCCACAAGCAGTTACGGGATGTGGTTCACATGAATTTCACTTATAATTAGTTCATGGCACATGTCGCCAGGTTAACTGTAGACTTTAGAATTTATATATATACAGTATATACACTGTGTGTGTGTGTATATATATATATATATATATATATATATATATATACTGTATATATATAAGACTTTAGAAATATATCTAAATGGCAGCATAAAAAAATTAATTTTAAGGAGCTGGCGGTATATTTAGCTGAGTAAAGTGTTAAATCATTTTTAAATGTTATGTTGACAAAGGTTGCCATCACTGTACTGTACTGGCCCAATGCTAATAATTGACAATGTATTCAATCTGAAAAACTTATGAGTCATACAGAAAAGAATATGAAATGAATTTGCTGTGAAAAACATAGAAGTCATGTCTTTGTTCCTACCTCCCACTTGTTGTCCTTGGTTTGTCTCTTGAGTTTAATGTTCCAGTTTTCAGCGCTGACTTCAGCACAATGAGCTATCGTCATGGCAACAGGACAGGACAGGTTCAGCCCTGGAGGTCCATATGTGACCTCTGGCCCTAACAGAATTTCACACCTTTCCTCTGATTGGGCACTAGTAGACAAAACGGGGGGAAAAGTATATATACACATTAATATATCACTGATAATTTCAAGACAGCCCACACCATTATTTATTTTTAAATAAATAAAATACACTACCATTCAAAAGGTTGGGGTCAGTAGGTTCTTTTTTTTATTAAGAAATTACTACTTTTATTTAGCCAGGATGCATTAAAATTGATGAAAGTGGCAAAATCAAAGAATCCTAAAAAACTGTTTCCACATAAATATTAAGCAGCAAATCTGTTTTTAACAATGATAATAAAAAAAAGTTTATTGAGCACAAAATCAGCATATTAGAATGATTTCTAAAGCATCATGTGACACTGTGACCGGAGTAATGGCTGCTGAAAATTCAGCTTTAAAGGGGTCATATGATGCGATTTCAATTTTTCCTTTCTCTTTGGAGTGTTACAAGCTCTTGGTGCATAAATAAGATCTGTAAAGTTGCAAAGACTATAGTCTCAAATCCAAAGAGATATTCTTTAGAAAAGTTAAGAGTCAACCACGCCTACCTAAAACAGCTCGTTCTAACACGCCCCCACATGTCTACGTCACGATGTGGGAAGATTTGCATAACGCCACCCAAATGGTCACGCAAAGAAAGAAGGCGTAACTTTTATTCTCGCTCTAGTATTGTTGTTGCCATGTTGTGAAGGCGCTGGGTTTCGTTGTAAAAGCAAAACTACTTTGGTTGGCCTTCCAAAAGAGGACACGACTAGAAATCAGTGGTTAAGTTGTATTTACAACACTGTTCCAGAACAGTTCAACCCAAATATTCAGATGTGTGCATATTTTTTGGGCAGTGTAGAGTAGCACTTGTTTGTCATTTCTCCGATCACAAATGCAGACTTGGTTTTATATTTACGCGGCGCGATGCAACGCTTAAAAAGACAGTATAAGTCATTATAATCCGTAATTATGTGTCCACTGGATGCAAAATATGCCTAGTTTATAATGGCTTTTAATGTTTTTGTCTCGTTGCTTCGGCCGGACAGGGATCACAATATGGTAAGGGACGTAACATTTCCGTCACACGCATGAGGTATTCGGCCAATCACAACGCACTGGATAGCTGGCCAATCACAGCACACCTCACTTTTCAGACCGATGAGCTTTGTAAAAATCTACGCGTTTCAGAAAGGCGGAGCATAGAGGAGAAAAAAATACTGTACAGTATGTGAAAAATAATGTGTTTTTTTAACCTTAAACTGCATAAACATATTTCATTACACCAAATACACAAAATAATGTTCTTTTTAGCAGCATCATATGACCCCTTTAACATCACAGGAATAATTTAACACAATATTAAACAAAAATCACAATATTATAGTTTTCACTGCATTTTTGATTACAGAAATGCACCCTTGTTGAGAAATAATCTTTTCAGAAACGTTTTTAGGGGTAGTGTAAATAAATAAATAAATATAATTTATGCATTTGGCAGATGCTTTACTCAAAGCAGGTTACACTGCATTCAAGGTATACCTCTTATCAGTGCATGCAATCCTTGAATCAAACCCATGACTCTGTCATCACTAGCACTACACTAGACCCCTTAGACCAATAATTAAAATAGTCAACACATTTATCAAATAGAGTGATCAGGAAAAAAAATGAAAACAAAACACAATGACAGAAAAATCCTTGTGCCCACAACCCTAGTTATCCTGCATAAATAATATAATGATGAAAATTGTCATGCCTGCAGTCTACAGAATCATTACATTCGTGACTTGGAGAACCTTGATTTAGGGAAGCTATAATTCTCTGAGGGCACTGGAATTGTTTATCAGCTCCTGCATATTCATTAGTCACTGCTTATGATCTTCCATCTTTTCCTTGTGGTGGTAAACCATAACATAAAACCCATTAATGAGAAAGAGTTAATGAAAGATTTGGCCTTTCATGCAAATTTAAAGGTTTAAAAAAAAAAAGAAAAAAAAAAGGAAAACAGAAAGGAAGGAGAAGCCTTCTGGTTGTCAACACTGCATAGCCTGTACAATGTGAAAATGTATATATACATATGTGGCCCTTTTGATTTTATTGTCTAACAATAAACGTTATATAAAAAAAAGTTGAGTTGGATAATATTAATAAATAATTCTGTAAGGTAATATTTTGTCAAACATATCTAATTAAAAAAAATTTGCAACATGGCATTTGTGCTTCCAATACTTTAAAGAAAGCAATTGGACTCCAAAGTGCCACGTATATCCAAAGATTTGTTCCTTCTGTCTTTCCAACTAACCACTTAGTAACAGAAAACTCACTACAAACCGAAAGTCTAGGAGCACCACAGCAGTAGAACTCGCTTTAAGGACTTTTACAGTATGCCCAAAGGACACCATAAGCTTTTACAGTTTATCTGAATCTATATTAATTCAGCTTTGCTGAAGAGGGAATAAGGACTAAACCATTCTTCACAGCCAATCAGCCTGTCCTCTTCCAAACTCTCTTCAAGTGTTCTTCTATTTACATCTAATTACTATTCAGGCATGCCAGCTCTTTAAGAACTTCAATGTTATTCAAACCTAATTCAGGTTTAACTAAAAGGCTGTATGAAGGAAAATGCATGATGAATGTCTGAAATGCCTCAACTGTATCTATTTGACAATGACATTCTTGAGGCAGAAAACATTGTCCTTCAATGAACTTTAAATTTAAACATAAAAAAACCATAACCACTCAATCGAAAGTTTTGTCATCTTTACATAATTCAAATAACATCCTACTTGTTTTAAAATATTAAAACAGATACAACTTTGCATTGCTATGTACAGATCTCTCTGGTATTCACATCACAGAAGACCGGATTTCTCTATGTAACCAGTTCTTCATTGCAACACAACACTGGTTTGCATTTCTGAGTCAAGGCTGGGGGCAGATTACTTGGGTTGCATAAGGAACTGCACTTCTAAACGAGTTTCCAATCTAGTACCTTAAGTAGCTTGTCATGTTTTTACTACTCTCAAGGGTCTTATCCTGCAAGCTCCTAGGTCTGCATTGAGAAGCATTATTCAAAAAGACTGATGAGTCATTGTTTGAGGGTCAGGCAGCAGAGTGCTGGAGCATTAGCGGACACTGTAGGAGGCGACAGGCAAATTTAATGCTTCCATTATGTATTCATTCTTTCATTTGGGCATCTGACCGTGACTTCAGTGTGGCAAATTGATCAGTAACTTGACTTGAATGAATAGTTCCACAAAAATGAAAAGTCTATAATCACTTACTCAATCTCATGTCTTTTTAAACTTGAATGAAATGTATTTTTTGTGGAACACAAAAGGAGCTATATCAGAATGTCCAAACTGCTCTTCAAGCAAGATGTTAAAGCACAGATTTCATAGAAAGATTATCTGTGAATAATAGCCTAAATTGACAAAGTTATCATATGAAATATACAGGCTTGAAATATAGTGAAATATATAATTTTTTATATTTTTATTTCTTTTGGTAGCCTGATTAACCCCATCCACTTGCATTGTATGGAAAAGAGCAGTTACATGATAAATGTCTGTTTTCCAGAGAAGAAAATCATACAGGTTTGGAACAAGCACTGGTTTATTATTTTAGACTGAACTATCCCTTTAAGATACAGTGTTGCAATGATATTTCCATTATGAATTAGAAGAATTCTTTTTAAAAAAATTAGAATTTAATATTGTGATATTTAGAATTACATGGTACCCTGAGCTGAGGACAGGCTTCATAATCTACTGTTCCAAGATAATGTCATTCTAGATGATTTTATAAGACACAAACCATAAACAAAAAGCAGACCTAAAACACAAAGACACATTTCAAAATGAAACATTTACAGAGTGTGGTATAAAACACTGAGCTCAGATAAAGCACTCTTTTAAAAACATTTATTTTTATTTTTATTATTATTAGTAGTAACAGCAGTAGTACATTTTTAAAAGACACTCCTTGAACCCAATCATCAACATTTCAACAAAATGATCTCTCATTTTGAATGAAGTCTCTGAGCTCTTTTATCTTTAATAAAAGAGCTCAGAGATCTCACAGGACTTGTAACTGAGCACAAGTGCAATGCTGTTCCGGGTGAGCACCAAGCAAGTTTACCATGTTAAAAAAAAGCCATACAAATGTCATGCAAATATCATGTGTTCGTTTACAAATCAAGTGCTATGTTAAGTGTTTAGAAGTCATAAGTATGTATAGAAATTGTGCAAAAATAAGTCTTTATTAATTAATAATCTGCCCAAATAGTCATAATTTGTGTGAAAAGCAAAAGGAAAGTTGTTGCCGTTTTGGTGCCTTTAGTGTTTTTTTCAGCTGGAAACTGCCTATGTATGTTTTTGGAGTTTTGCAAAAATAGGTAGAGACACGTATTTACAATGAGCTTATGTTGCACACCTGGAAAGTGATCTCGATCTCGAAGTCACATGCAGACCACTGATATGACAGAGGCCTTGACCTTATGTGCATAATTTAACATAATTTGCAAAAAGTGCTATTCATTTTATTTATTTATAAGTAAAACATATTTTAGTGAGGATAAAACTACAGGGTGCACCTTGAACTCAAGTGTCCAGTCTAAATCAGTGTTCTGCCACAGATGTGGTTAACAATGACTCATAACGTCCTCATTTTACACTCATTTGTTGTTGTTTCTGTTTCCTGTTTCCTCAATCATCCTGTGTCATTATGAAGATGAATCATCCCGTGTCATTATGAAGATGTATTCAGTCTGAGCAATGATAGCAGTTGTGTTGGATCTCCTTCATGTTTTGGCAGAGTGCAACAGTCACATTGTCTCCAGAGACACATCAAGGCTCATGCAGGGTCATTACCTTTACATGCTGAGAATACACAATACACAAAGACCTTCAGAAACTATCAAGAAAGTTTTAAGGGGAAAGATTCAGGTGGGGGTATAGGCCATGACCTATATATGCCAAAACAACTCACATAAAATTATCACTCAATGATCAGGATAAAAACGATTCACTTCTGTGAACTTCGTGTTCGATGTGAAAATCAAGTCACTGCTTGTGTCATAATGAGACTTCAGCTTTTCACCTAAAAGAGTTCAATAACTTAAAGTCAGAATCCTGCTTGTTTGACAGAGCTTTTATGGCATGACACGTTCCAGTGTGAAGTCAGATTCCATCTCTAATATTCATAATCAGATCTCAATTTAAGGCGAGAGAGTCTTGATGATAAAAGTCAATTCCTTATTAATTTATTCAAACTAATGGGATTTCTTCCCATAAAACAGGCAACACCATACCTGTATACCACAAAGCACTTATAAAAACGTATAACGCGTCCGCAATGTATGTACTGTATGTCAATGTATCAGAAATGTTCATTTACCTAATTTGTATCTATTTCTTCTAATGTGTAACTATTTAAAGCAGTAGCATCTGACTTTAAATATGTAACCTTTGAAAGCAGTACTGTTAATAAACCACTGTGTAAACTAGACTTTACATTGATTTAATAATACATAGTTAAGTGCATTAACAATATAATCACATTCTAGCAACACTCTACCACATATTTAGCTATTCTAACTGCACTTACTTTCATCATTGGTATAAGTAGCAAGTAGATATTCATCTGTCCTATAGAAAAAAACACCCTACAGTTTTATTAAGGTGTGTCCTTGAAAGACAATAGTAAATTGTCTTTTTTAAAATCTGGATCTCTCTTTCGGCATGATATGCAGATTATGTAAATGAAACATTTGATGAAATACAGTATGTCCATCATTGGAACATTTTGTTGTGGTGGCTCCCTGTTTAGTGTATAACGTCAGGTCTAGTTAAAAGCTTCTGGAACAACAGAAAATGTAATTATTTCTTACAAAATAAATTAAAAAATAAAAATCAATATTTTTTTCTGAACCTTTAAGAAGAAATGCTAATGCTTATACAATGACATGAAAGTGATACAAATATGTCATCTACAGTCTTACCTAGACTCCTCTTGATTTGTGAGCATGTACATTTCCCAAGAGGTGTCCTCAGCAATCGCCCCGTGAGGCACCAGCAAGCTTACTCCTAGGAAACCAACACCAACACCATCAACAACAACAACACTGAGATACTATTTATGTGCAGCTACACAATACACATTAATTCCTATGCTACATGAACTAATTGCCAATATGAGCATTCGTTAACACATTAAAAGACTTAAAAATGATTCCATGTCCTTATGTTTTACATATTAAGTGCTCATATATCATATTTAACTACAATCTTGTGAAATGGTGAATATGCACACAATACCCTCAGCAGCAGAATTTTCTATTTGTTTAGAGGACAAATATTTTGTAATCCTCTTCCTCATCTTTACTAATTTATTCAAGTCAATATACAGATAATAACAGTACTCATGTATTTTAATAACAATAGCTGTTTTTATGTGGTCTCCTCGTGCACACTCACATGTAAAAATAACAAACCTCAGAGAATTGGTTTCTGTGAACTGTTGACCTTTACAAGCATCAGCCAAAGAGAGCATTTGGTTTTAGTGTACTTATTCCGCAATGTATGTACTGTATGTCAATGTATCAGAAATGTTCATTTACCTAATTTGTATCTATTTCTTCTAATGTGTAACTATTTAAAGCAGTAGCATCTGACTTTAAATATGTAACCTTTGAAAGCAGTACTGTTAATAAACCACTGTGTAAACTAGACTTTACATTGATTTAATAATACATAGTTAAGTGCATTAACAATATAATCACATTCTAGCAACACTCTACCACATATTTAGCTATTCTAACTGCACTTACTTTCATCATTGGTATAAGTAGCAAGTAGATATTCATCTGTCCTATAGAAAAAAACACCCTACAGTTTTATTAAGGTGTGTCCTTGAAAGACAATAGTAAATTGTCTTTTTTAAAATCTGGATCTCTCTTTCGGCATGATATGCAGATTATGTAAATGAAACATTATATGAAATACAGTATGTCCATCATTGGAACATTTTGTTGTGGTGGCTGCCTGTTTAGTGTATAACGTCAGGTCTAGTTAAAAGCTTCTGGAACAACAGAAAATGTAATTATTTCTTACAAAATAAATTAAAAAATAAAAATCAATATTTTTTTCTGAACCTTTAAGAAGAAATGCTAATGCTTATACAATGACATGAAAGTGATACAAATATGTCATCTACAGTCTTACCTAGACTCCTCTTGATTTGTGAGCATGTACATTTCCCAAGAGGTGTCCTCAGCAATCGCCCCGTGAGGCACCAGCAAGCTTACTCCTAGGAAACCAACACCAACACCATCAACAACAACAACACTGAGATACTATTTATGTGCAGCTACACAATACACATTAATTCCTATGCTACATGAACTAATTGCCAATATGAGCATTCGTTAACACATTAAAAGACTTAAAAATGATTCCATGTCCTTATGTTTTACATATTAAGTGCTCATATATCATATTTAACTACAATCTTGTGAAATGGTGAATATGCACACAATACCCTCAGCAGCAGAATTTTCTATTTGTTTAGAGGACAAATATTTTGTAATCCTCTTCCTCATCTTTACTAATTTATTCAAGTCAATATACAGATAATAACAGTACTCATGTATTTTAATAACAATAGCTGTTTTTATGTGGTCTCCTCGTGCACACTCACATGTAAAAATAACAAACCTCAGAGAATTGGTTTCTGTGAACTGTTGACCTTTACAATGTTAACACATTAAAAGACTTAAAAATGATTCCATGTCCTTATTTTTTACATATTAAGTGCTCATATATTATATTTAACTACAATCTTGTGAAATGGTGAATATGCACACAATACCCTCAGCAGCAGAATTTTCTATTTGTTTAGAGGACAAATATTTTGTAATCCTCTTCTTCATCTTTACTAATTTATTCAAGTCAATATACAGATAATAACAGTACTCATGTATTTTAATAACAATAGCTGTTTTTATGTGGTCTCCTCGTGCACACTCACAAGTAAAAATAACAAACCTCAGAGAATTGGTTTCTGTGAACTGTTGACCTTTACAAGCATCAGCCAAAGAGAGCATTTGGTTTTAGTGTACTTATTAGATGCAAACAGATGATTAGAGTTATTTTGCATACTGTTCATGCCACTGTTTGTGGGTTTGGAAGGAAATGAGGGTGAACAAATGACTATATTTTCATTTTTGGGTGAACTCCATCCAATTGCTAAAAGAATATGAATAAATGTAGCTGTACTGTATCTTAAGATTAATTCAAGTCATGCTCATCATTGCATAAAAATAACTTGATGAATGGAATCTAATACAAACACTAATACAACTTTCTCTCACCTGCATTTGGAATGACTAATCGGCCACCCAAATGCCCAAACACTGCACTTGTCTTAAACGGAGTCTTCCTGAGTGTGTGAAGTCCATTAGGAATGATCATAGCCATCATCTTTCCTTCCACTGTGCTGTAGTTTGGGTGAAGGTTAGCAGGAAGCGTCTCCGGATGGGCTTTCACGTGGTACTCGGCCCGGTCCGCCACACCTAGTGAAACCATAAAGGAGCTCTGAACTTTGACCTTGTCTGGCAGGGGGTCAAAGAGCTCTTTGGCTATGGAGTCCTGAAAGCAGATTGGGCTGCTGTACGTCTGGCCGATGGTTATATCGGGCTGCATGGAGGAATTCAGCAGAAGTGGATTGCCTGAGGAGATGAAAATACAAGTCTGTGATATTTTGGGTGTTTCATAGGAGTTGTTGACACGGGTAAAAAGAAAAGAATATGGTTAGATGGGGTCAGCTCCAGTGCAGCAGACCATAGCCTGAAAATCAAGGCATGCAAATAGAAAAGGATTAAATATTTAATTTGCTGTTTTGGCTAAAATATTAATTCTAAGAGTGCTGGAAAAGGGAAAAAATGTCTTATCTTGAAAAATACAAAAGTGAAAAGGACAATTTTAAGTATGTGAGCAAAGAAAGTGCTTTGGCACCTACTAAATTATTTATTTAGGCTTTTTAAACTGTTAAATCACTGGCCCTTCAAAATCAAACCACCTGAAATGTGGTTCTTAATCGGTGTTAGATTATTAAGAGTATAGAATTCGAAGTCCAACGCTACAGTTCATTTTAACTGAAACAAGGTCAGTCCAGTAGAAGAAAGAGGTTTATTCTTCACCTTAATTCTGATCTCTACCCCTAACTGAATACTTGCTCATCCTAAACTAGACCCCAGAACCTAGGACCCCTGCCTTTACTCAACCTTCTCTTCCAGGGTTTCCTAAACGAGGGTTCAATAAGCCAACTGCAAGGGGTTCATGAATTGATTAAAAGCTATTAAAATATATTTACATTTTATGGTACAACTGTAATTTACAATAGTGATATATTGATGTCTATGTTTTCACTATTAGAGCTAAAATTAAGAATAATAAAGACCACGAAAGAGGTCCTAGTTAGTTTCTGCAGCAGAAATACGAGACTTAATACGAGATTAAATGTGATATTACTGTTAAAATGTTATGACAAAATAATTGTGCAGTTGTGCAGCCATATATATATATATATAGGCTAATGGGTCTTTATTTTTAGGAAAATAGTTAATTACCGCAGGCTGGGCTGATCGGTGTCAGGCATTTGGGATATTTCTAGTTGCCATGCTTGGGCAGGTCAAGGTTTTGCAACAGGGTGATGACAGGTGTGTTACGAATTTGAACGGTCCTACAAAGTTCAAAGGTGTCAGGATGGAACAAATTATGCTGGAAAAATGCCAAAATTTAGGAAACATGCTGCTGCATATGCACATTTGGGATGAACAACTTCATGATCCTTTTAAGGTATACAGGTGCATCTCAATAAATTTGAATGTCATGGAAAAGTTCGAACTTTTCCACGACATTCTAATTTATTGAGATGCACCTGTATTCACCCCAAAGTTAAAGTTTTGTCATCATTTAGTCTTCTTCATGTTGCTCCAAACCATTATCACTTTCTTTCTTCTGTAGATCTCATAAGATATTGTGAAGAACATTTCAACTGTTTTTGTCCATACACAAAGAAAGTCAATGGGGTCCAAAACATTTTTACATCCAAAATTACATCCAGTATTAAACATTTCTAAAAAAAAATGTTTTGTCTTCCACAGAAGAAACTAACTCATAATGGTCTGGAATGACATGAGATGACAACATTTAGATTTTTGGATGAATTAACCACTACCTATAGCAGAGAACTGAACCTGATTTAGTTTCATCAGACATATGAAGCATTAAATGGTTCAACTTCTTAAATTCTCATCCACAACAAATTGGTTTTCCCCTCTCATATCTCTTCAGAAGCAGGATATGATCACTGTGGGGCAGGAAATCTTAAAAAAATGACAGAGAAAAATGAAAGGACGAGACAGCAGGATGACAGAAGTTAATGAAATAGGCATGAAGTGGGCACCTTGCGGGGAAAGATTTGGAATTAGAGTCATGATTAAAATGACTCCGTGGCTCAGATTTCAAGAGCAGACAAGCGGGCAAATGTCCGGAGTTTCATACTGTTACCTGAGATTTAGAGAGTCAGCTGGAACACTTCAGAAACTTTATCATAATTACACACTGAGAAAACTGCAACAGATATCATGCAGCAAAATGAGATCAAAGGGAAAGTGATACAAAATATATTGAATAACACAAAATCTACCTTAAGAGAAATAAAACCAAATCAAAATTCAAAAAAACTTTTGAACTTTCAAAATGAACAACTGTTTAGAGAAGCCTCTATTGTCTCATTCTACATCCCACATCCTCAAATGAACATCCAACATGCTCCCATTTCCATTGCATGGGGATTGGTCTTTCCTATCAACTCTGATGGGAACTGGATTGGCTGTTGGAATAAGGCGCAGCGGGAGGCTAGGAGAAAGTTGGCCTTTTTAAATAGGATTGATGACCTGACAGATGCGGCTCAGCTGAGCCTTGATCCCCTCATTCCTGTTGCATGCAAAGGTGTGGGGGTTTCGCCATCCCAGGCCTTGAGCACAGTAAACACAAGCTGCTAGTCACAGCCTTTCACTGTGCTGTCACAAGCAGGCAGGATTGATTACCCTGCAAGGCGATGGCTATCACTTTCTGAAGTGTCAGCGGCGGTAATATGGATGCTTGTAGCGGAACCAAGTGTGGGTCATGTGACTATAGTCATGGTCTTATCAACAAAAGTTATCGGCACAGCTGACAAAAAGGCAGAATTGAAGTCAACGTAGCATGCCTTAAACATTTACTCGTTTTTTTGTGTGCAAATGTATGTTTGCTCAGGGGAGGCTGTTTGTGTGACTGAAATATATTAGTGTCTCACTGTGAAATAAAAAAAATCTTATGGCATGCATCTACATGCCTTTATGAGCAATTTATTTATTTGGATTAATTATTTGGTCTGAATGTTCATTGTGGCTTAGCCTGTTATTGTGACAAGCAGCACAGAAACTTCAGTATCACAATAAATCTATTAATCCAACCGAACCGCTTCATCTACAATGAACTCTTACCCTGTCTGGTGGTTTTGAAGCTGAAGGACTGGAAGCCCCCAGCAAGAGCAGATGAGTCAATGACATCCACTCCATACTCACTTTGACTTTTCCTGTAGAGGGTGATGGCCACTATGAGGACGACCACAGCGATCACCCCCGCAGCCAGACCAGAGTACAGCACAACATCAATAGAGTTCTCCATACCTGGGACACAGCCATAAACACACACACACACACACACACACACACACACACACACACACATACACGTCTGGTTCACTATTCTTGTAGGGACTCCTCATAGGCGTAATGTTTTTTGTACTGTACAAACTGTATTTTCTATCGCCCTACACCTAAACCTACCCCTCACAGAAAACTTTCTGCATTTTTACAATCTCAAAAAAAATAATTCTGTATGAATTATAAGCTTCTGTACCCATGGGGACCTCAATTTAGGTCCCCACGGTGACACAAGTCACCATGAGTTGGTGTGTATTCAGGTTTAAGTCCCCACCAGAATAGAAAAACATACCTACCATACATACCTCTGCTATCTTGGATAAAATAGTATAGCAATAATGATTATTATTATTAATAATATTAGTAGTAGTAGTAGAAGTTATAAAACATAAAATATTACTTTAATGATAACTAATATTTTATACTACGTCATAACACGAATATTATTTTTACTACTACTATATTGTTTGTGCATTTAAATATATAATCTATTATATTTAATATATTATATTGTATAATAATATAATACAATTATATTAAATAATAGTATTATGAAATAGCAGTTATGAAATAATATAACACATTATATGACCGACGAAATTGGGATCTCGCTTAGAGGGACCAATCTACTTCGAATGTAAACTAAACGAGCCAATGCACATTGGCATGCGATTATTGCATCCAGCTGCTGCTGATCACAGCGTGAGTATAAGTAGGCAGCAGATGCAGCGCATATTCAGCTTTTCGCTTCGGCACCGAGCGATCACATCATTCTGCTCCTGACTACTCTACTGAGAGAAGAAGACTGAACGAGTTCAGCTCGCTCTTAGAGAGCTCTTCGTGTTGGAGGACGGCGCTTCAGCGGTGGTGGTTTCCCGTGTCGAGTGGGTTGCACACATCAGGCTGCACTACCCCCTGTTTGTGTTGCAGATGATCATCTCCCCTGTGCGCCTCAGCACGCTAAAAGAGCTTTTTCCCCTAAAAGAGCCATTTCGGGTGCGTCTTTTTAAAGACGACGTTGAAGACGATGTGGGTCTTGCTATAGACAACGTATCACCTGGGCGTTTTTGGATGCGGTCGTTACCTGGCACTGGGTGATGGTCACGATCGCTGCCTCTCGTGCCTGGGCATGAAGCACGCTGAGGT